ACAAGGGGAAGTTTGGGAGGGGCCTTCCTTCCACCGTGCAAGTTAAGGGGAGAGAGAGAGAGAAAAAAAGCTATTGTGCATTTGAAAGCACAAAAAATAAAAGGGGGAGGGGAGGGGGGGAGACTTCTATTTTTGTTGTGCCGCTGCAGACGTGCGTCCGATCCGTCCTTTCCTCCGCCGATCCGCCTGGAGGCTCAGAGCGGCAGCCGCCAAGGGGCGCTTTCCCCCACAGCCTCATGTCCTCGGTGGGCTCCGCAAAGGCGGCTTGCTCCTCTCCTCGTCCCCTCCCATCCCCCCCCCCAGAGGCAGGCCGCCCGCCAGACTCCACAGAGATCCTCAGCTCCGTGACGCGGGAGCTGACTTATGTAACTTTGGTCTGCACGGGATGCGTCACGGCATGGCTCTGCTTCCCGTGTGTGTGTGTGTGTGTGTGTGTGTGTGTGTGTGTGTGTGTGTGTGTTCATTACATGGGAACGCCAGCGAGACTTTTTGCAGGAATCTTGGTGGGGCACAGCCCCCCCCTCCAGCAATGGGGCCCAGACAGATGTCGGTACCTATTTTCAACCCGAATAGAGCTGGGAAGGGACCTTGGAGGTCTTCTAGTCCAACCCCCTGCTCAGGCAGGAGACCTCGCATGGTTTCAAATAGGTGGCTGCCCAGCCTCTTCCTTCAAAAACCTCCCGTGGCTGAAGCACCCACAACTTCTGGTGGCCAGCTGTTCCACTGGTTCATTGTCCTCACTGTCAGGAAGTTTCTCCTTGATTCCAGCTTGCTTCTTTCTTTCGTTAGTTTCCATCCGTTGTTTCTCCTCCAGCCTTCAGGGGCTTTGCAGAACAAGTTGACCCCCCTCCCCTCATCTCAGCCCCTCAAATATGGAATTCTGCTATCATGTCCCTCCTGGTCCTTCTTTTCTCTCCACCGGCCAAAAACCCAGATCCTGCCTCCATTCTTCCGACGTTTTAGCCTCCAGGCCTCCAAGTTGCCCTTCTTCGCCTTTTGAGTCTTCGGGGAATCCTGTGCAAAGGTGGCCCCTCTCGGGGGAGGGAGAAGGGGGGGGCAGGGACGGTCACAGGGGGGTGGGTGGCGTGGAGAAAGCCCTAGCAGGAGCAGGCTGGAGGGCACTGCCCACCCCTCGGCCTGGCTTTCCCAGGGACCCCTGGAAGACGTTGCCGTTGCGTCTGGGAGGAAGCGTGGTGCTGAGTCATTGGCAGGCTGGTCACACAGATAGACCCAGAGCTGGGGGGCCCCCGTGGGGGCAAGAGCCTCGGGCGCCGACTGCACGAAGCACGTTAACGCCGCGGCATGAAGTTTGGGCTCCTTCTGGCGTCTCTCGGGTTGGTTTGGGAAGCTTGCGTGGGGGTTTTTTTGGGGGGGGAGGGGGTGTTTTTGAGGCAAGGACGGTGGCCATGCCCGGCCAGTGGAAAGGCTTCTGCATGGGGAGGGCACACATCGTTGTCTTGGCCTCGCACTCCCCCAGTGCATAAGTGCTCCGTTGTGCTGGGTGCCTACCTGTCGTTTTAACCCCCAGCCACCCCACCGGCCCAGCTCAGTTTTTGGGGGGTGAAGGGTGGGGGGGTGGTTAGGCTTAGGGACAATCAAGGAGAAGAGCACCCCGTAATGAAGGAGAAATTTCCCGACTGCGAGAATAATTAATCCTTGGAGGAGCTCCAGAAGTTGTGGAGGTTTTCAACTGGACACCCGTTGGTCTGAAATGGGATGGGGTTTCCCGCTTGAGCAGGAGGGGTTCGGCTAGAAGACCTCCAAGGTCCCTTCTAACTCTCCCATTCGGCTTTCTCTTCGGCTGCTGCTTACAAGCAAGGCTGTTTCTTAGAAGTCAGCCGATGGGGATCTTCCTCTTGGTCTCTGCTGGTGAAGCCCGTCCGGGTGCTGGACACGCTCTCTCCCCCCCTTCGGCTAAGCTGAGTGGGGTCCCCGGCTTCCTCTTAGAAGCCACTAAATGTCCACCAACATCTCCCCGTTACGGCCACCTGACTGGGCCGGAGGCTGCGTGCGCGAGAAAGAAAAGTTTGGTGGGAACCAGGCAGTTGGCGCCTTCCAGAACTTTAGCGACAAGAGATCCACTCACCCCTGCCTGTTTGACAGCTGGGCATGGCTGCTGCGGCCCTGGAGTCCAAGCACTGGGGGTGGTTAGGAGTAAAGGGGCAGCATGATGGAAGTGCCCAGGTATTCTGGACATCCTGTTCCTTCTTCCATCCTTGGTTCTGCGCCCCTGAATTGAGAACTCTCTCCAAAAGGTCAAAAGCCAGATTCAGGGTTTCGCTCCCAAATGAAAAAAAACCGGCCAGGCGAGGTGTAGTGGTTACAGCAGGGCTCAGGGTGGTGGGGGCAAGGGGGGCAGATGAGTTCCCCTTTTAAGAAGGGAGAGCAAAAGGCCGGACGCTGTTCCATTGGGTGACAAAACTTAAAAAGAGCTTTCTGAGCCGGCCGAGTGGGCAGAATGCTTATCCGCACGCCCAGTTTCTTGAAAGATTGGCATCGGGGCAAAATACGGTTGGTGACACAGCTTCACACCTTGTTGTGCTGGGTCCGTTGTGGGAAGCGCACAACGCAAGCCTGCTGCTTTGCAAACCTCAGGTTAGGGCTATAAAGTAGGTCATTGGGGCGGGGGGGGGGACGGCTTTGCACAGGTATGAGCAAGCTCAGAGGCGTGCGCACGGACGCACACACAAACACACCCCGTATAAACACAGCGCCGAGAAAGAGAAAGAAGTAATCTATTGATTTTAATCTTCCTCGGGCAGGTCAAAAAGTGCCCAGCTTGCTTAACCGAAAGCTGAATCGGTTAGGTGTGGGTGTGCATTTCAGTCCTCCAGGCTCCAGGGGAAGGCATTGTGTGCGCTGCCCCACAACGCTTGGGCCGGTGCCACAAGTGGGTCACGCCGTCTTTTGCTTTTGCGGGGAAAAAAAGAAATTCTGCCCCTCCAGGTGACTCCCCGGCTGGCTCTACGCTGCGGGCGAGGAAGGCCTTGGGCCTGCTTGCACGAGGGCGGCGATGTGGGGACGCACAACAACCGGGGCTTCCTGTTTCAGTGGAGCTGCCTGACGACGATAAAACAAACGGTTGTGCGGGAGGCAGAGGAAAGTTCGGAGGGCCGCCTCTGGGCTGGGAGCGTTGCAAAGTTTTCGGAGCGAAGTGGAGATCTAAATTGCCCACTCGGGCTGAGCCGAAGCCGGGTGAGGTTCAGCCTGGGTGTGTTGCACACCCGACAGAAACCCTCAGTGTCCGGGAGTTTTTGTTGTTGTTGTTTGTTTGCAAGCGTGACGATCTTCAGAGAAAAGATTAATCTAGTGGTGGAATATTCTGCAAGGGGTGTGTGTATGTGTGGAGCATCTGACTTTTCCCAGCTGGGCACCATTCAGGCGTGCAGGATGAGGCCCGGAGGAAGGATCAGGTGATTTTCACTTTTAAACCTGGCATGTGCCAAGAGGAGAGGACTCCATGCTGTGTTGGAGAGCTGGAACAATCCATGGAATGGTTTACCTCCAGAAGTTGCGGTGCTTCGTCTCTGGCGTTGTCTAAAAAGAGATTTCTCCAGAGTTGGTACAATGCAGGGATGACCAACCTTCTCAGCACCGAGGGCCCGAACTGAAACGCGCATGTGTGCATGTGTGCGCCGGAGCACCAAAACCCCAAAGACCAGCTGGCCGGTGTGCCCTTTTTAAGGGGGGGGGCGTTTTGGGGTGTTTTTCGGGCTGTTTTCAACGTTTCCCAGCACTCCAGACACCGTGAAGGCAGCTGGCCAGTATATGCACATCAGAAACCAGACAGCAGCTGGCAACAGCAGACATGCCCACAGAGAAATCTCTGCGTGGCACAGGTTCACCGTCGCGGGTATAGTGTCTCCTGCCTGAGCAGGGGGTTGGACTAGAAGACCTCCCAGGCCCCTTCCATCTCCTCTATTCTGTTATGCTTAGGGAAACCAGAGAGTTGGGTGGAGCAGAGAGGACCGGCCAGTCTGTCGTGGCAAACAGAGACGGGAACACGGATCTCCCCGTTTAACTAGCGTTGCTCCACCGTGGCCACTTGAAGGTGGATTTCAACTCCCAGAATTCCCCTTGCCTTTTGGAGATGGGAGAACCCGAAGCCACTGGAAGAGGGGTGGGCTTCAGCCCCCCCCCCCAGAATTCCCCAGCCACGTAGAGCTCCCAGAGTTGAAGCCCACCAGTCCTCAAGGGGCCGAGGTTGAGAAGAAAGGGGTTGAATCCATTCAAAGAGTGTAGGTCACGTGGGCGAAAAAACAGAGCCTTGGCAAAAACAGGTTTGGCCGCTTCCTTCCTGGTTTGTCGTTCTACTCGTCCTCCCGCCTCTCGGGCGGCATGGCTGCTGTCGAGGAATGTTGATGGGAGTCTCCCTCCTTGCTCACTCTCTCCGGGACACGTCAGGTCATGTTTGAAGAGCGTTGCACCCACCCCAGTTCTGCTCCAGGAGTTCATAACCAGCTTAAAAGGGGCCTGTATAGCGGAGACGGTCCCCGGTCCCTCCTTGAGGCTGCTTCCGCATTTGGGTAGAGAGAGAGCTTTTGGAGAGGATCCTGAGAGATCTGGCTAAAGATCCTTGAGTTGGGTTGAGGAGAGGAGGCTCCTGGCAGAATGTCCGGGGAATTGCCTGCCCAGTTAACCAGTTAGACGAATAAAATCTTTGGAGCTCACGGTGGAAATATGGGCTCCAGGGAGCTTTCTCAGCTTGGTGATTTTCTTGCAGACGTTTCACGACCCTGCTAGGAAACGCAATCAATGTAGATGGGAGAGGGGTTTGGAGCGGGAGGGGGACAACTGTGGGGTCCTTGGTGCTCTCTGAGCTTGGTTTTTTCCCCCAGACGTTTCATGAACCAATTAGGTAAAAACATCAGTGCTAGAAGGAATGGGGTTTGCAGAATGATGATGGAGGGGGTGGTGGTGGTGGAGGAGGAGGAGGAGGAAGAAACTGTGGGGTCCTTGGTGCTCCCTGATTTTAGTAGTTTTCTTGCAGACATTTCATGACCCAGCTATGTAATATCATCAGTGCTAGAAGAGAGTGGTGTTTCCCCTCTGTTTATATTGGCTCGCCCCATCAATTTGGTGGGAGTCTTCTTGGGAGTTCCTTGATTAGCGTGTTGTTTATTGAGTTGGTTATACCAGTTATACGCCAGCGTTGAAGGTCCATGTGGCCTACAGTAAAATGGTATCTTACTCACTGTGCTCCTTGAGGGGGTCTCCTTTCCCCAACACGACCCGTAGCTTCCTGGATTAGCCACCTCTGCTCTTTGTCCTGACTCGGTCTTAGAACTCTCAAGATCCTCACATCTTCTCTCTTCCCTGTTGTCTGTGTCTGGCTCTCGTTTCCTTCGTAGAACGCCACCCGGAGATCTGCAGACTCGGCCATGAATGGACACGTGGTCCCATCAGGAGACTCCGGAGACCCCGGCGGGTGGAACGAGTTCTGCAAGCAGCACGCTATCACCACCGCCCGAGAGCTCGCCAGGGAGTACCTCCACTTTGTCAGCGAGAACCCCCAGCACGAAGTTTTGGCCGCCGAGAACTTCTCCCTTCAGTTTGCGGACCTCTTCCAGCAGTATTTCCGCCACGAGGTGAAGGACACGTACGGTACGGAGCACCTCCGCATCCTGCCCTTCCGCGAAGTGCGGGACTACCGGGAGACCGGCCAGAAACATGCGGAGGGCTCCTCGGTCACGGTTGGGACCAAGGCCGAGGTGGACTTGTCGGACCAGGTCAACCGGCCCGCTGAGGTCCGCTCCGGTGGACTTCCCAAGTCTTGGAGTTCTGAAGAACTGGCGGCCCCCGCCTCTCCGTTGGCCATCAGGAGACATTTTTCTCTGGACCGGCTACGGAAGAGCTGGCGTAGCTTGTTCCGCCGGAGATCCTCGGAGCCGGCTCCTGGCGAAGGGGAGATGGCGGACGTGGTTTTGAGATCCAGCCTGGCCCAGAAGATCTTCCCGTGGACCGTCTCCAGGGAGTGCTCCTGGCAGATCCAGAAAGACGGGAACCTGAAGTACATGATGGTGACGGAGGACAGTGGGACCTGCTGGCAGAAATGCCGGCTGGTTTTATACAAGGAAGGGTCTCCCGACCGCCAGAATTACGCCTTGGCGCTGTTTGATCCCCCCAAGGTAAGCGGCTTCTGTTCTTGCAAATCCTCCCCCCCCTCCTCCTCCTCCTGGTGATCCCTCTCGTTCCTAAACACCTGTGAGGTAGTAGACACCCCCAATAAATAACCAGCTCATTAAATTCCTGGGATCTTGCTGACCCCCTCCAAAAGTAGGCCAGGAACTAGGCTTAAGTGCTTTTTCAACGCCGTTTGGAGAAATGGATCAAAATCGTATTGGTAGCTCTGGGTTTGGGGCCGAATGGGGCCTCCATGTTAAATAAGTGATCCTCTGGGTAATAGATCCCAGGAGTGGTTGCTGGGGTGATCGGAGTCTTCGTGCTTAGATCTGCTGGTGAGATTTGGGATACGGACTATTTTGTCGTGGTTAGTGTTTGGTTCAACGCGGTCTTTGCTCTTCGGAGATTTAATCCTATTTTTGAGGGGTGGGGAGGGGATCTCTTGAAGGGCCCCAACCATTCGAGGCAGCTACATGGAGCCAATTGACGCAGCTGCTTTAAAAGGCTTTAAGCCAGTGTTTCTCAACCTTGTCAACTTGAAGATGTCCGGACTTCACCTCCCAGAATTCCCCAGCCAGCTAATGCTGGCTGGGGAATTC